TTGCCTTTTATTGTTTCCTGAACCATTAGAAATATTGTTGCTTCTGAACGCCGTCAATGAGATATAAAAAAACATGGAAAGTGATTATCAATCACAGTCCACCTAGGATGGAAAAAACACAAATGATAAGTGCCTTGAATAAAAAATCACAGAATCACAAAATGGTTGAGGTTGGATCCAAACCAATGTACCTGCTCAAGCAATGATACTCAGACCAGGTTGCCTAGGAGCATGTCCAGATGGCTATTTAATATTTTCAAGGATGAAGATTCCACAACAATTTCTGGGCAAACTGCTCCAGTGTCCATATTAAAAAGCTGTTTCAGCTTTAAACAGACCCTTCTGTTTCCTTGTTTGCATTGCCTCTTGTCTTGTGATTGAAAAGTGCCTAACTCCATCTTCTTTGCACCCTCCCTTGAGGTGCAAATACACACTGGTGAGTTTCCCCTTGAGCCTTCTCCAGGCTGAACAGACCCAGCTCTCTCAGCCTTTTCTTGCAGGAGAGGTGCTCCAGTCCCTTCAATATCTTCACAGTACTTCATTGTTTCGCTCCAGTAAGACCACATCTCCTTTGTGCTAGGAAGCCCAGAAGTGAACATGGTACTCCAGTGAACTCACCAGTGCTGAATAAAAAGGAAGGATCACCTCCCTTCACCTGCTGGCAACACTCCTTCTACTTGCAAACCAGGAAGATGTTGACCTACTTTGTGTCAAGGGCATATTTCTGACTCCTGTTCAACTTGTTGCCCACGAGGACACCCAGAGGCATTTGTGCAAAGCTGCTTTCTAATTCCTCTTGTTTAACTTCATAAGGTTGCTGATAGCCCATTTCTCCAGCCTCTTGAGGTCCCTTTGGATGGCAGCCCAAGCCTCTAGTATATCAGCCAGTCCTCCTAATTCTGTGTCATCTGCAAAATTGCTGAGGCTACACTCTGCCTCATCCTCTAGATTATTAATGTAGACATTGAACCTCATGTACCTCATATTGATGCTTGGGGCACACTGTTAGTTACAGGCCTAAAAGTAGACTTTGTACCAAAACCAAAACACTTTGAACACAGCCATTTCTTGTAAGCTTAGACAGTGTCTCTATATTCCTCCCAGGTTACCTGTCTCTGCTTCCACCTTTCATATATGCTTTTTAAGTTTGAGCTTTGCCAATAGTGCCTTGCTCATCCATGCAGGGCCCCTGGCATTTTTATTTGACTTTCTTATTGGGATGACTTTTGTAAGATATGATCCTTGAATATGAAAAACATCGCTGAGAAAAATCATGCTCAATAGACTGTCAGAAATACTACTTGTAACTGAGAATACAAAATATTTGGCAGTGGCAGTTATGTTTATCATATTTTTGGATAACAGAAAGTGTTTCCTTTTTATTATTGCTCGTCTTAATGTAAGGTTAACTTTTCAATACTAATTAATTTATTTGTAGAAACAATGCGCACTTAGGAAGTGGACTGATTGCCCACTGTACATAACAGGGGATCAGTAGACTAAGAAGCTGACAGTTTTTGTGCACCTGCATTCTTCCTTTGTTCTTAACTGTCGCAACATATGTTTCTGTTACATTATTGGGAGGGTTATTTTAGAATAAAGAGAGGAGTCTGGCAGCAGGGTAAAGTCTACACGACTTGCAGACTAGCAGCATAAAGACCAAAATCTGCTGGTTTTCTTTCTGTTTTATTCATGATTGTAGTTTAACTGGAACATGAATCCCGGAGACAAAAGAAAAGGAAGTATTGAAAATGATGTTATCAAAGCCCAGAGAGGATAGTACAAGAAGAATGAGATGGAAAGTAAAGTATTCCTGCTCAGTCTAAGCTAGCTTTATTCACTAAAAGTGATAACAGTGAAAAAATGGAACATTTGCATATTTATGGAAGGCAGTGGGAAAGTTGGAACACGAGAAGTATTAAGGTACCTGAAAAGAAAGTAGGAGAAGGTGTTTGAAAAGACAAGTACACAACCTAGAGCTGGAAAACAAGAATCATAGAATGGTTTGGGTTGGGAGACACCTTAAAGATAATCTAGTTCCAAGCGCCCTGCCATGGGCAGGGACACCTTCCATAAGACAGGACTGCTCAAAGTTCCCTCCAGACTGGCCTTGAACACTTCCAGAGATTCCACAACTTCTTCCAGAGATTCCAGAGAAGATTCCAGGGAAGCCACAACTTCTGTTCGCAACCAGTTTCAGTGTCTCATCATCGGCATAGTGAAGATTTTTTCTGAATGTCCAGTATAAATCTCCCTGCTGTCAGCCTAAAGCTAGTTCATCTTGTTCTGTCACTACTTGCCCTTGTAAAAAGTCCAGCTTTCTTTCAGGGCCCCCTTTAGATGCTAGAAGGGGGTGCATAGATGCTGGAAGGTCTCCATAGAACCTGCTCTTCTCCAGGATGAACAAGCCCAACTCATTCAGCTTGTCTTCATAGGAAGTGTGCTCTAGCCTTCTGATCATATTCATGGCCCTGCATGCTACATGCATTGGCATAGAGACATTTCAACCGGGAACCTGATGATGATGAGTTATTGGCTGGAGTGGCTGGAAGTCACCTCATCAGGTGCTCCATTTCTGACCTGTGATCCCTCTTCAGGCTCTGGGCATCTGCTATTAGCACCAGCATCGGACTGGTAGGATCGGGATGGATTGAGGTTATCCTCAACCAGCAACTTTAGTTTATGGAGGCCAGTAACAAGTGGTGTCCCGCAGGGATCAGTGTTGGGACTGGTCTTGTTAAATATCTTTGTTGGTGACATGGACAGTGGGATTGAGTGCACCCTCAGCAAGTTTGCCGATGACACCAAGCTGTGTGGTTCAGTTGATACGCTGGAGGGAAGGAATGCCATCCAGAGGGACCTTGACACGCTTGTGAGGTGGGCTGATGTCAGCCTCATGAAGTTTAACCATGCCAAGTGCAAGGTCCTACACCTGGGTCGGAGCAATCCCAGGCAGAGCTACAGGTTGGGCAGAGAATAGATTCAGAGCAGCCCTGCACAGAAGGACTTCGGGATCCTGGTCGATGAGAAAATGAACATGAGCAGGCAGTGTGCGCTTGCAGCCCAGAAAGCCAACTGTATCCTGGGCTGAGTCAAAACGAGTGTGACCAGCAGGTTGAAGGAGGTATTAATGCCCCTTTACTCTGCTCTTGTGAGACCTCACCTGGAGTACTGTGTGCAGTTCTGGTGTCCTCAACATAAAAAGGACACGGAACTGTTGGAACAAGTCCAGAGGAGGGCCACGAGGATGATCTGGGGACTGGAGCACCTCCCGCATGAAGGCAGGCTGAAAAAGTTGGGGCTCCAGTTCAGCCTGGAGAAGAGAAGGCTGTTTGGAGTCCTCATAGCAGCCTTCCAGTATTGGAAGGGGGCCTATAGGGATACTGGGGAGGGGCTCTTCATTAGGGACTGTAGTGGTAGGACAAGGGGTAACAGGTTAAAACTTAAACAGAGAAAGTTTAGATTGGGTATAAGGAAGAAATTCTTTCCTGTTCGGGTGGTGAGGCACTGGAATAGGTTGCCCAGGGAGGTTGCGAATGTTCCATCCCTGGCAGTGTTCAAGACCAGGTTGGATGAGGCCTTGTGTGATATGATTTAGTGTGACGTATCCCTGCCCATGGCAGGGGGGTTGGAAGTAGATGATCTTAAGGTCCTTTCCAACTCTAACTATGCTATGATTCTAAAGCCTTCTCCACAGTTTGGCAAGCCTGTTATTGAAGATACTTTTCCCTTTTGCTGAGAGGTGGACTTCATCAGGCCCTAGAAGAAAGTAGTAAACCATCATGTGATGGAGAGTACCTCCTATGATGATGGAAGAGGTGAAGCAATAAACAAATTAATATACCATGAAAATTCTAGCTTCTGTGCCACCAAAAAGCAGAAATTCCCTGCTTAACACAATAACAAGAAGCCAATTGAGGTTTGGGGTTTTTTAATTTGCTTTTTTTTTATCCCCCAACCAGTCTTTCATTATGGAAGAAAAGATAGACCATCATTTACCCAGATTATTTGTATGTGATAAAATAACTTAAGAATACTTGGCAGCTAAAATTGGCTATTTTCCCAAAGGGCCAACACCCAATGCATTCCACAAAAGCAGAAAGGAAAAAAGGTGTGAATAAGATGAAGAAGAAACAAGTCAGTTTAGAAAGGAATATCTTTGCATGACAGAAATGCTGTTGGTACAAAAGCAATTATCTTTTCCACCCAAGCTACAAATAATATAATCAGACCAGTGTGGAGCTAGGGCGTAATTAAACACATCCAAAAGCAGTGTATAAAGATATGCACATCTGAAAGAAATGGTGCTTTTAATTGTATCTTCATACAGTGACATTCACATATATGCTGTAAAGATGATTCCTGCTTTCGGTGTGTACTTGGCACTCATCAGTTTTGGGTTGTGTAGTTTATAGGACCTCTGTAAGCCTGACTTCTAGTGAGAAAGATTTAAATAAATGAGTTAGAACGGACATCCATATGGTAGAGATTGACACTGATTTGTGATGGTGAACAGATAGCTTTAACTTTTGGAAAGGCTACAGTTCTGTTTTCACAAACTGTTAAGGTAATTTACTGATAGATATACTGCCTCTGCAGTTACTGTAGGTTTTGGTAATACCTCTGGTTTACTTAATGAGCTAATAGCATAGGTTCAGTTATGAAACTATGTTTTAGCACTAAAAATAGTAGTTGAAAAAGTGTTGGTCTAGCACAGTGACATAGCAAGAAAGTGTTTAAAATAATGTGTTTGAAAACATAGTTGTTGTTTCATGAACACTTTAATCAGAAAATCTCTGATTCAGATCGTTTAATATATGACCACTGTCAATCCAGACTCTTTTACATCAGTGTTAATCGCAAAATTCTGCTTTGTATTGCTGCCTTTCAATACCAGTTTGCAGAATTTATTTAGAGTCAGGCTACTTTTTCTGTTTCTTGAATGCTTTAGAATTGTGGTGTTACTCTAAAAATGAAAAGTGTTTTATTTTCTTTTTCAGGGAAATTTTGAAGAGTCTTACACTTTTAATCCTCCAGTCATTGGTTGCGCTGTAAGGACATTGAGGTGAGGTGGTAAGTTGGTGTAGATCTTTTGCTATATTCAGTTAAAATTGTAATTTCAGATTTAACTGCTGAAACAATATCCTTCAGTGTTGTGTCTGTGTGACAGAAGTTGAGAAATGTCTTCCTGGCAAATTCCCAAAAAGATTGATTTTGTATGTAGGAAGTCTGAATCATAGCAGCATCAGATTTGTTCTGAACTTGCACAACAGCTTTATATCATATGAATAGAGCAGTTGATTCATACATGCTCAGTGACTGTTTTCCAGAAATTCTAGTTTCCTATACATCTGAAAAACTGAGTGATTGTTGTAGTTAGTTTGGCAGAGCATGAGTCACTCAGCAATGCTTGATATTATCAGCTTTTCAAATTTCAGTAATCTATTTGTTAACTACTTGTCAGTCTTTTTTTCAGAATTTTCCCTTTCCCCAGTATGGCAAATCTGTAAAGGCTTTTCTTTTCCTGACTACAGAGAGGGTTGATAGATTTAAGAGGTCACTGTTCCCTGGATAAGCAAATTTTTTGAAGCTCAAATAAGTTACATGACTTCAGCTGATCTCAGCAACGCTCTGGTAACTCTTATATAAAAGTCCCAAGCTGGGAAAGCATGTCTGAAATAAGTTTATTTTTAATTTTTATTCTTAGACCCTAAGCAGATAAACCAGGAGCAAAGATCACATATTTCTATGTGTCAGAGCAGTTGTGAATATTAAGGGTCCAGTGACTTTAAGTCATAGTTCAAAGAATCATGACTGGTGACTCACTATTTCTGACCTCTAGCTGCTTGGCCAGTCAATCTTAATAAACCATGGTTTGGAGTTTTTTGGTGGTGGTGGTTTGTTTTTTGTTTGGGTTTTTTTTGTTTGTATGTGTGTGTTTGGGGATTTATTTTTTTTTTTGGTTTTAGTTGGTTTTAGTTGGGTTGTTTCTGCAGTTTTTTGTTGTTAGTGGTTTTGGGGTTTTGTTTTTGTTTGGGATATTTATTTTTTTTTACTTTGTTTTGTTTTGTTTGTGGGTGTTTCCTTGGGATTTTTGGCAGTTTGGGGATTTTTTAATGAACTGAAAATATTACTGCTGGAGCTTGAGTATTCAGAAATATAAAACTTCATCTTTCAATGAGAAATCATATGGATTTGTTTAGCTGGATTCCATTTTTGTGTTATTTTTCTCTATTTCTACCCATCCGTTAATAAAACTAGAAAAAAAGTTTTAAGACTTCAGTTATACATCTTTGTTATAAGAAGAAGGTTAATGTTCCCAAATTTAAGGATTACAAGAAAACCTCTCAAAGTACTAGATACTGAAAATAATAAAGTTGTATGCTATTTCATTTTCTGGACCTAAAAATGGTCATACATATGTAAATATTATGTACATCAATTGAAGAGTAAGGACCACTGGTGTAGCATAAATTCTTATTCTTTGCTTTATTCTGTTCTTGTTGATAAATAAGTTTACAAAGTAAAACATGATAAAATTCTTTTTGACTTTAATATATAAAGATCACCCAGTCCAGAGTCTGTTTGCAGATATTTGTTCTGATAAGTCTTCTGAGTGACTTATTTTTGTTGTATCGTTGAAGTATAGTGTCAGCTACTAAATCTTGGTCTAAAAGCAGAAGTGAGTTCATACAAGCAGTGTCTATTTATTTGAGTTAATACTAACAACAGAATTCCATTTTGATATAAAGTTTCCTTTGAAAGGATTTTTTTCTTCCCTTTGCAAATCAGTAGTAGATTAAAGTGCGATCTAAATCATGTCATTTGCTCATCCTTTTATTTAGTTAGTGAAAATATAAATTACTATTACTGGAAGTAATAAAATTATCCCTTTGACTTGGTTATTCTTAGTGTAAAGCTGTAAATCTTTTCCATGCAGTAATGTATTTTACCTTAATTAATTAACATGTTCTTAGAACAAATTCACATTCTTAAAGCAAAATCTTATAAATGCAGATCTGATTTATTTCTGCCTTCTCTTGCAGTAGTGTCTTTTTAAATTTAATATGAAGTTAATATTAATATTAATTAATATTAATTAATATTTATAATTACATTATGTAATTATAATTAACTATGTAATATATTTATAATTATATTATATAATTATAATTAACTATATAATATATAGTATATATAGTTATATAATCATAATTAATAATTAATATTAATTAATATTTATATTTCACAGTTAAAAAAGTCTTGATTCACTGCAGTTCAATTGCTACATTTTCTTGTAAAATTGCAAATCTTGAATAAAGGTGTTTACTTATGATTTCCTGGACTGAAATCCTGTTATCTTATAAAATATAAGAAATAACTTTGAAGGAATCGATAGCAATGAAAAGCCAATGGGAAATAAAAATGGAGGAAAAAAAAAAAAAAGACTCTATTAATACCAAGGTTTAAGTGGCTTAAGATTTATGTCAGTTTTATATTTCCAGATCTGTGACAGATATACAGTGATATGCAGTTTTCAACTTCCATGCATTTTCTATTTCAGATGTTATGGAGAAAAAGAATACAAATTATGCAAACTTTCTCATTTACTGAAATTAATTTAGCAAAGTTTCATAATATTAAAAAAGCCTGTTCAAAGTTGAGTAGACGTTGCCTTCTGTTGTATATCAGTTTCCTTTAACCAGAAGTTCAATCCTTTGTTTTTCTCTGGTTGGTGAGCACAGTGTCAGCTCTGAAAATATTAGCATGCAATTCTTAAGGGGGAAATTTTGGCTGTGCAGAAATATAAAGCATAATTCTCAGACTTCAACGTGTCTCAGATTCTGTGTGTAAACTTTGATGAACAGGGTTGTGGATGTGGCACTTTCAATGATAATTCAGATACATCTAAGAGGAGACAACAGGTCTTCATTATTTAGAATTAATTTTTTGTGCTGTATGAAAAGGATATAAAACGTAGATATAGGTAAATAGGATGCAATAACTTACTTTTTGTGAGATAAAGGAGGCAATTAATAATGAACATATTCATAAGAACACATGAGTATTAAATAAATGTATTAAAATTATTTGCACTAACAGTTCAGTAGTTTAGCAAGTTGAAATTAGAATATTAAAGCTTTAACCTCTAGGCCAGTTTAGATTGGTTGAGTTTGAACATTCTTTTAGCTTGACAGTTACTTGGCTTCCTGAAATGTGATGGTGGAGTGAGTTCAAATGCTGAGGATAAAAAAAACCAAAACACATTACAAAGCAATAGCATGACATGACAGTAGTTCACATCTTGCAATCACAGCAGAAGGTTCAAAGCCTGGATGCCTATGCAAAGACAACTGCACTTCAAATGAAAAATAGGTCTTGTGGCTCAAAACTGATGAGGTGACCTGTGAAAAAGTGAACTTCTTCCTCTGGCCCCTTGCCCCAGCAGTATTGCAGTTGTGGTTAAAAAATTTGAGTTCATTTAGCTACTCTTCACCAGCACAAAGTTCACTTTACCACTTAATCAAGATTAAAATTAGGGAGAAAAAAAGTGCCTCTTGTCTTTTGATAAAATCTGTATTGTTCCTAATATGCTTGTGAAAATGAGAGTAGCATAGTGTCAAGCAGTAATTTCTCCTGAAGGAATAATGATTAGGAAACAGTGCTAATGGACCTGCAGAAAATCTGGGTACAGCTCAGAAACATTATTAATTAAAATGTTTTTGTCCCCAAAACTAAAGGTACTTTAACTTAGTTTTTCTTGAGTGCTGTCATTATGTGGATAGAAACCTGAATCAAGCATATCTTCATTTTGAAAACATGCATGTTTACAGTATCAATGTATTTCCTTCTTAATGATCTTTTACAAATTATTTTCAATGAAATAAAATGTAAACCATTCGTAATCTGTATGTTTTCCCCAAGTAAATGTTGGTGTATCTCCCAAATATGCAACACACAACAAATAGAAGTGAAAAAAATATGTAATACAGTTCAGTATTTCTCAGTAGCTGTGTGCTGACCTTAGTAGACAAGACACAAAAGATAATCCATAGAGCTACAAAGCAGAAAAGGTTGTAATCTGAAAAAAAGAAAATGTTGCTTTTCCATAAATATATTTTTACCTTTCTCAAACAAGTAATTCTGAACTCATGCAACACAACTTCTTTGGGCTAATTATGGCATATTAATAGCAATACATATGAATATATTGAGAACCAAAATATTTTAAAGAGCATTTTTAGTGTCACCTGTTCTTATGCATGTATGTTAATCTTGTCTTATAAATATCGTATGTATACCTTATGATCACATGTTCAAAAATGTGTGCGTGTGATCACCAGTTTTCCTAAATATTAGGACCATTTAAGGAAAAAATATTATTTCACAAAGGCCATTTTACGACTTTGTACAGCTTTTAGGGACCTTATTGCATGGTGAGAGGTGTATATGGCTAAAAAGTAATTCATTATTCACTGAGAACACCTTTTTATCTGAGTCATGATGTGTTTTTCACTAAAAAACAAAACTTTGTAGCGAAAAAGCTTATTTTCCCTCACAGTGTTATTTGTAGAGTACAGCATACTTTAGAAACATTAAAAAAAAATTATAGCTGTCCCAAATTCTTTTGCTTAGCAAATTTGAATGTTTTTTTTTCTTTTGTTTTTTGATCTTTTCATTTCTATATTATAATTCTTATCTCAAAAATATTTATTGTATTGTCTGAAACTAGCAGTGATACTGTAACTGGAAGCAAAATTAACGTCCTTCTATATCAAGACAATCACAGTGTTTGTGTGTATATATATGTATATACAAATAATTTTAATAGGTGTTAATGGAATTCTTTTTATAGAACAGTACAGTTGGTAAAGAAGGCTTTGTGTGGAAATTACCATGTGATCTAGGATAGTGACAATCTATCCAGAATAAACAGGGATTGAAGATCGGTTGCATTTTATGCAAGTTATGAGATAGGATATGAGACTCCTGAAGACAACTCATCTAAAGTGATTTTTTTTTAATTTATGGTTTTCATTTTTCATTTAAATGTACGTTCACTACTTCACTTT